CCCCAGACCCGTTGTCTATCTTTCCTGCATCTCTTCCCCGTTATTTTATTATTAGTAGTACTAGTAGTATTATCTTTTTAGCTCCGTGATGCTGCCTTTCTGGAGGAACTGTCCCACCTCTGTATCAGTTTTGTAGCGCTTTGGTGTTGAAGGACAAGATCCAGGCTCAAGCAAAAGAACCAGTGTGTTTTGTTATAGCTGGATGACCTGTTCTTGGGAGCTGAGCCTGTCTTTTAAGGTCCAGAGCTACAAAAAAAGCACTCGTTCCGTGGGGATGAAGCACGTCCTCTATATTGAGTAGCAGGGGTTCGTGTTTAGTTATGAGCATAACTTTTGTAAGCACATTCACTTCTGTGAGTGCTTAACAACGCTTAGCACTTCCAGGGTGCCTAAACAAACGTTCAGGTACTGGCTTCCTGCAAATGAGGGAAATCTGAATTCTCATAAGGTGGAGATATAAGTGGCCCAGCTGTCCTGAGACAATATGCTCCCAACAGAAAGCTTTTTTATCTACTTAATAACTACTGTATTATGCTGGGGACTCAGGATTGTCATGAACAGATGTATTATTTATACAAGCAGTTTCGAACAGTGCTTTCATCTCATTATTGGTGATCTCTATTAAATGTTGCTTGCAATAAGCTGCTCTGAATAATCAAACGTAATAAGTGATAAATGCCGTTGCATGATTGGTTTAATTTGGCACTGGTACCCAAAGGCGGTTTCATCCTTCCTCAGCTGCTTCCTGGTACACGCAGGCTCTTACTGCAGTCCAGTGTTTCTAGAGGAAATACATGTGAAGGCTGTGCAAATGTTGCCAGCAAGAGGTTAGGGATGGCAAGATGGTTTTTTTGCAGCACTGCCGGCTTACATTGGCCTTGTGACAGGTAAAATAAGGTCTTGGGATTGTGATTCCTGCCCAACACAGAGGGAGGCTAAAACTTCCATTGGCCTGGAAATCTGCAATTCTTTGTACTTGGATCCCTTGCTTTAGGGAGTGCTAATCTTTGCTTTTTCTCTTATTAGAAATTGATTGCAGGGATATGACAGCCCAGGTAACTAGTCCCTCTGGAAGAACCTCTGATGCAGAAATAGTAGAAGCTGACAAAAATACCTATTGCGTCCGCTTTGTGCCACAAGAAATGGGGGTCCACACTGTGGATGTCAAGTACAGAGGGCAGCCTGTGCCGGGCAGCCCCTTCCAGTTCACCGTGGGGCCACTTGGTGAGGGGGGAGCCCATAAAGTAAGAGCTGGAGGCCCAGGGCTCGAGCGTGGAGAGACAGGCATCCCAGGTGAGTCCTTTGCTCTTGTTAAACTCAAATGTCCACCATACACAGATCTGCAGTGCAGATGGCTTGTTTTCTGATGGCCCTTGGAAAAACCTCTCCTTTGAGAAGGACTTTGTATAACACTGCAGTTGCTCCTGGCTGGATGGTGCTTGGTGGAGAAACATAGGCTTAAGAAATAATATTGCTGCATCATGTAGATAGAGAAGTCGGGAAACCCACAGTTAGGAAACAAATGAACGAAATGAAACAAAATGAACTTGGAGCTGTAAGAGGTACTACAGAGTAATTCAAGGCTAACGTAAGCCTCTTGGAGAAACTGCTCTGTATTATACCTCAGGATTGTGGTACAAGGTACCATTTTTCAAACACTTTAGTAGTGAATGCTACACGCTTCTGTTAGGAAGTAGCTGAAGCCCAACAGCAGCAAGCTTACACTTGTGTGTGCTCTTAAATGCTTCAACAGCCGAGTTCAGTATATGGACAAGAGAAGCTGGAGCTGGAGGATTGTCTATTGCCGTAGAAGGCCCAAGTAAAGCAGAAATTGCCTTTGAGGACCATAAAGATGGGTCTTGTGGTGTATCATACATCGTTCAAGAGCCAGGTATGTACCAAACTGTTCTGAAATAACACAGAATGCTACTTTCAAGGAAACTAAGGAAATTCAATGCTTTTTCTTTTTACCTCCAGGCAACTATGAGGTGTCCATAAAGTTCAATGATGAGCACATTCCAGACAGCCCCTACCTGGTTCCTGTCATCGCCCCGTCAGACGATGCTCGCAGGCTCACTGTCACTAGCCTTCAGGTGAGACATAAGGAAACATCTTCATAACTTGCCACACAGACTGATTTCGTCCTTGTTCTCTGAGACCAAAATAGCTGTCCTTTGTCAGTGATAGCGTTGCCTCGGTTGATGCCTCTGTTTTTGAGTCCAGCTTGCAGCCAGAGAGAGGTTTTTTTTACCTTAAAGCTCCTTGGCCACTGCTAGAATCAGTAACTTTGGCCCCTGGAGACCCTGCCTCTGGCTAGCTGGAATTCAAAGGCAGAAGACATTAGCTTATTCCAGGTGGTAACGTTTGGGAATTGAGAGAAAGAGGCTCTAGAAATAGCACTGGAGCAGCAGTGTTGGCTCTGAAGCTTGCCTGATTTCCCCAGTTAGCTAGGAGAGGCCAAGGCAGAACCCACGCCGTAATGTGAACAAGTAGTGATCGAGCTGTTAAATTGGATTACTCTGGCGGGTAGGCTTAAAAGCTGCAGTTCCACAGGCGAGACAGTATAGGCCAACTTGGTTGGGATGTTACTTCAGATTCGCTTGAGAATTTGTGTGGGCAGATAGACAGGACCCCAGAGTGAAGTCAGGGCAAAAATTTGCTCTGACTGACGTCACAAAACCGCAGAGTTGCAGCTGAGATAAATCATAGGTGGTAGCAAACCTCTAGGAGTGAATTCAGGCTTTGTAGTTAGTCTGGGCTCATCTGTTAATCTTGCCAATTTATTTTTTTTTGCGTGGTTACTTGTATTAAAGTACAAGTAACATTAAAGGCCTGCCTTAAACCTCCAAAGCCAGAAACTTGGAAGTGAGACTGAGGATCCATGTCTAAATATACTATGCCTCAGCCCTCATTAAGTAGTGATAAGCAATTAGTCCCTCAACTGAGGCATGTTGTTTCTGATGTGCCCCCTCTGCGTGCCTGCCTCGGATTAACTTTGCCAGGGCTTCAGGACTCCTCCACCTTGGCTGTGTAAATGAATTGTGACAGCCCGATCTGATAGTCTCTCTTCTGAGTCCTCTAAGCAAGGAGTTACAAGGGCGTTAATTAGTCGCTGTGGTATGGATGTTTCTCTTGTGTTTCATTTAAAGACTCTTTGACAGGAATACTCACTTCAGTTAAGACCTGGAGAGGCAGATAAAGCTGAGTATTCTGTAAAGGAGTTTGATGTGCAGCATCAGTCTCCGCTAAACTTGCATCAGAGATGTGCTTTATATATTGTACCTCAGTTCTACTCAGTTACATTTATTTTCCTCTTCAGGATTTAGTTGAAAATGAAGTCAGGTAAAGTATGTTCAGCATAAAATATCACTGCTGAGTGGCTGGGTGAGCCGTTGTAGTTGCGATGCCCACTGCTGCACGGATGCTGAGCTGACTTGTCTTCAGCAAATAGCGCGGTGCAGTACTGATGGTCTGACAGCACAGCACCATCTGGTTTCATGTTTTAAATTGCTTTCTCGTTTTAAGACATCTTGTGGTGGCGTTCTAAATGTGGCCTCTTGTGGCAAATATAAACATGCATATTACTCTTTCAGACAACTGGATTATCAGAGGCTTTTCCCTTGAATGAATCTGGAATGAATGAATGGGCTAAAAATGGAACTAAAGCTTAAACATCCTTTAAATCAAGTGCCTGAATACAGGGGTCTCTAACCTCAGTGATAATGGGTGACTAGTCTTGTAAGCCTGCCTTTGCCTAATTTGGCAGAGCATCATCTGGCTTCCGGAAACTCTTTCACTATGGAAAAAATCAGCCTAGTGGATGTCAGTGACTCTTACGCCTGCCACTCTTAGTGAGAGTGAAAGACCTGTCTAGGCTGTTGCTGATTTGAGAGTTAGTGCAAGTCACAACTTTACCTCTTTTGTTGACATCTAAAAAACTTGTGTTGAAGCGGTTATCTCCTTGCCACAAGCCTTGCACTGTCTGAAATGAAAGTGTAAATTTCGTAATCTAACTGTTGCATTCTCAGGAGTCTGGATTAAAAGTTAATCAGCCAGCATCCTTTGCTATAAGGCTGAACGGGGCAAAGGGCAAGATTGATGCTAAAGTCCACAGCCCTTCCGGAGCTGTCGAAGAGTGCCATGTGTCTGAACTGGAGCCAGGTGAGAAATCAGGACGCCTATCAACAAGAAACGGGATGACTTCCAAAAGACACGTACTTCTGCGTAGCGAGTGGGTTTAGTCCCTTTGGCTTGTCAAAAGCATATGAAGGGAATAAGCACCTTACTTGGCAAATAACGCTGTTGTCAACAGTTTCAGGAAGGGTTGTACAGTCAGGTTTATATTCATGCTTTTCCTAGATAGTTAATGAAATGGCTGAGACCTAACTTGCATAAGATACTGACATTTAAGGGGGAAGTCTAAAGGGTTTTTTGCATAAAGTCTCGGCTTGCCAGTGAAGGTACAGTGATATAATTCATAAATGAAGGGGATGAAATATGATGTGGCCGTTGAATTTCGCCAGTGAAGAAGCTCATTATTTGAAGCTGTGCTTCCCTCTTTAGCTAGTAGTTTATTTTTAACTTGCACTCGCTCATTCATACGGAACGTCAAGGAACCTGAATATAAGCAAACACTACAGAAAAGTCGGCACCTGTTTTCAGCGGTGAGCTTTTCTTTTTAAGTTGAAGTCTGAATGAATTAGCGTTTGCGCTGTGCCAGTCTAGCCACTGTCCAGCTGCGGAAGGTCAGTCGCTCCTCTGGGTTAACATGCAACAAAAATGTTAAATATCAGCAAATTGCTAAATGACTCTCAAATAAAAGTGCAAATTTCTGTGGTGTCAGAGCAGCGCAGTCTACCCGCTGTTAAGATTTGGCCTGCTTCATACCAGCTGCTTTTCTTAAAGAAGTCCTGTTCACAGTTAGTTCTACACTAACAGGCTGGGCTATGATTGAACCCTCACTTGTAGTCCATATGTGAGGAAATAACCCTAAAGCTTAAGCTGGAGATTAGGTGACAGCCGAGATCAGTTCTTAGTGGAAAAGGTAAAAATGGAATCCATGGCACCTCTTGTCGTAAATAAATGTTTTTCCTAATTAAATATGAGCTTAGTAACTTGTCTAGCTGAGTCTGCTTAAGCTGGGCTCAAAATATGTTTAAAAAATTATGGAAGCCTTGCTTGGGTTGTTCAAAAAAAGAAGTATTGGATTTAATTTTTATTGATGCTGTCTCTGAAACATCAGAAAAGCTCCTTTTCTCTTGTAGATAAGTATGCTGTTCGGTTCATCCCCCATGAAAATGGCATTCACTCAATTGACGTGAAATTTAACGGAAGCCACGTAGTGGGCAGCCCTTTCAGGGTTCGTGTTGGTGAGCCTGGGCAGGCGGGCAATCCCGCGCTCGTCACTGCCTACGGACCCGGCCTGGAGAGCGGCACCACAGGTAACGCTGCTTTTCAAGCTCTCATACAAACCTCTTTGCACTTTGGCTTTCTGAAAGAACTAGAAGCTGTTTCCAGGCATATTTTTACATGACTTTTCCTGCTAAGGCAGCTGAACTAACACGTATTCTCTGCCATCTTGGATGCAGGCTAATTTTGCTTTCTCGCATGCTCCTGAAGTCATATAACCATCAATTAGCGGGTGCGCAGGCTGTACTGACCCTTAATGGACTAAAACCTCTGCAAACCGGCAACTGCAGCAAGAGTTCACACGAACTGGTTAGCAGCTCAGCTATGAATCTCTGCCAACTAGTTGAGCTCAACTTAGGTGGTCCCTGAGAGCTCTGGAAATGCTTTGGCTCCGTTCCACGTGTGCAGCTCACACACATGAAGCCTGCAAAGGATGAAGGGTTTTAAAGAGTTACACAGCCTTTGGAGAGGAAGTCATTGACTATAGCGCGTGCGTGCTCCAAAACTGTAAAAATACTGAGGGAGGGACAAAATTAATCAATAGGTTTTATTTTTCTTTCTTTCATCAAACTTGGTAATGAGCAGTAGTAGTAAAACAGGGTTTTCAGAAGCTTTCCCTCTGTGTAGTGAGCGCAGTTGTTGGGTTGGCCGTGAGCATGGGTGTCTGTTGCAGCCCGTGCTGCCAGTCTTGCGCCCTAACTTGCATACCCCCGTTAATTCCCTTAATATAAGGGTACCCACTTAGCTTTTCATTGGTAGTGCTTGAACTTCAGAGAAATTGCGAGTTAAATGTAATACAACGTGTAAATTCTAGAGAACGTGGTGGATTGTGTTCTGCCTGAAGTGTTTTATGCGTGCTTCAGATACTGCATAAACACTGACTCTTCTTGGAAGTCTGACACCTATTTAACTGCTTTGGCTGTCCCATTTGACAGTTTTCATCTCAAGAATGTAGGTGGCTTTTTTTTTCCACTTGTTTGATTGTGGCCTTTGTAAGAAAAGACAAAAGCTTTGCGGGATATGCGCTTTTATTTTTTTGTAATTGTGTGCTTAAATGGGCCACACATGCTGTTGAAGAGTAAAAGCGATTTTTTTTTTTCCTTTTGATGTGCACAGTGATAATTAGTTCCCTTTATCCTATCTACTTCTTTCTTCTGTGGGTTTTACTTTACACCTTTTTCCCCTGGAAAAAAAAAATACTGCAGCTATTCAGCCAAAGCTTCTGCTGTTCTGGAGAAACCAACCAGTTGCGTTTGGAAAAGTGTGGGCGTACTACATAGAATGAAGATATTATAGCCTGTGCTGCTTTAATAGGTGGGAAACAAAAGCCCTCATTAATACTAGTCGCTGATGCATCAGGGAATGGGGTGGGGGGAGGATTTTTCTCCATCTATAAAGGTGCTCGGGGTTGTTTTTAATCTAAATAGACTGTTTAACTTCAGGAAAGTTACTCTGTGCCGCCTTGTTGAATGCTGGCCACTGCTAAAAGCTCGGTGCCCTGGGAGCTGCTGAGTGCAGCCCCAACTGCGTTTTCGAACAATGATCTAGTGTAGCGATTTCAATAGCTGGTGGCTGAGTACCTGAAACACATCCACCCGGGGAAGGGAGAGAGTCTGCAGACTAACAATGTGAGCCTTCATTTGTGACCCAAGGAAAAAACAGTGAACTCCGAGCAAGAAGGCTTTACTGCGAATCTGTGAAACTTGCTGTTTTGGAAATGAACTTTCCTGTAGTTTCTAATATATAAGCGTGACCAGTTTACTAGTCGTAGTAGGGAGGAGAGGGGAGAGAAGGGGATTATACCCCAAGCGCTCTGCGGTCAGACTTTCCACGTTGCGTGCTAAATGGCAGGCGGCTGCAGTCAGATCTCGCCCTGAGAGACCCGCGGCGGTACAAATCTTGTATCAGAGCTGGGTTCTTCCAGCATTGCAACACAGCAGTGTCTTGTGTGGAAAGACAAACTCTTTCATGGTTTAGCACCACATTTTATACACATATGCTTCAGTCTCAGCTGTAGTAAACTTTCTTCTAACTGGCTTTTTAAAATTGAGCTTGAGCCCTTCATGCCTGCTCAGCAGTGTCTCATACAACAGCCCTAAGATAATAACTTTTGAAGCCAGGGATTGACAGTAAATTATTTGGGGACTGAAAGCCTTGCTTAAATTTTTCTTGTGTTGCTGGCATGGTGTCATTGGCTAGGCATTAGCAGCAATAATTCAGCTACACTAACCAGATGCTGTAATTAAACAAGCTTTTGTTTCCACACACTGCTTGGAGTGTTGTTCCAGAGCAGTTCAGACACCCGTGTCCTCCAAAGACTTTGCCCTGTCTGTGTCCACTGCTTTCTTGTGGGCCCTTCACTGCTGATTTATGATCCCTTCAGGGAGAAGGCTCTGAACTTCCCTGAGCTTAGAGGTGAAGAAGGCTGTACCAGTGCAGGCTCCAAATCCCAGGAAAAGGGCTCTCGTTTTAAGAGTTTAGCTCTTTTCTCTCTGAACCAGTCTTTTGATGCCAGCGGGTGCTGGAGCGCCTAACCGGGGAGCTCAGAGCCTCTGGATTCAGGCTGCCCTCCCGGCCCCCTCTGATCCCGCGTGAGGAGGCTGGGGGTGAAGGTCAGCTGTCCCACCACAAATGCAGATTTGGGCACTTGAGTACTCAATGGACTGTCACCTAATCTTGTATCGAATCATGAGTTCCTGTTGAATAATTTAGGGTTCTTTTATAAAGAGCGGGTGTAAGGAAGAGTGTGTCTTACTATGCTACATCTTTCTAGGATTACAGTCGGAGTTTTTCATAAACACGACCAAGGCTGGTCCAGGTACCCTCTCTGTTACAATTGAAGGGCCATCAAAGGTGAAAATGGACTGCCAGGAAACTCCAGAAGGTTACAAAGTCATGTACACACCCATGGCTCCAGGAAACTATTTAATTGGAATTAAATATGGTGGACCTAACCACATAGTGGGCAGCCCCTTCAAGGCAAAGGTTACAGGTAAAAAGCTAACCAGTGTTTACTGTATGCCTAAAGTAGCTTGTGTCATTCAGCAAATACGTCCCTCTGAGAAACTGTGACATCTGGGCTTAGATGCCAAGTGTCCATGAACATGAGAGGCAAAATGTTTCTGCCCCCTCTCTCTAAATCCTGGATTACAGAGCGTGTCACAGAACAGGCTGAGAAGCGGCTGCAGGAGTTAGTCTCGCTGGCTTGAGTCAGCGAAGAGCCGTAAAGCAGTTTCGCAGGAAAATAGTCAATCTTGAACTAGCTCTAGGGTGTTGCACTGGCTGGTGAAATATGACTTGCTTCCTCGCGTTTTACCCAAGCCCTAAACGTTGACTCTTGTTGTACAAATGATGCCCCTGATTCTGTCCTTTTTTTGCTATGGTTGTGACCTGACCAAAGGGGCCAGTAATGTCTGAGGGACTTTCAGACAATGCAAAGAAGGCTGATGTTACCCCTAGGAAGCTCTTTCTCTTGCAGATACTGTGTTTAAGCAGACCAGAAGTCATCTCTAACGCTGCCCCTGAGCTAGTGGAAGGTGTACAGGTGGTCCTGGCCTGGTGGTGGTCTTGGGAGTGGGCTGTAGGGGCCGTGTGCCCCAGGGCTTGGACATGCTCTGCTTTCAAAGAGAGGTGTTGCAAAATTGCACCTGCTTTTCTGCCAACTCAAGTCATTTTGGGGCATTTGGTGACTGGAGCACAATTAACTCTTCTTAAGCAGCCTGCTTTGCTTAATGAATCCTGAAGCTCCTGTCGTCCTTTAACCACTGAACATATCTTGGTGTTTAAGGGTTCTGGGATGGGATTGTCTCCAGAGTTACGGAAGATGTTAGCTCAAGTACAGAAGTAGGAAATTGCTCCTCTCGGTGTAAATGCATTTTGGAGGCAGAACGCTAGCATGTTAATCATTAGGAGCTTTCCCAAGCTTTCTCATTAAATGCCCTTCCGATGGGGTGAATCTGAATGTCAGAAATCTTTCCTTTCTTCAGGACAGCGACTGGTTAGCCCAGGCAGCGCAAACGAAACATCTTCAATCATGGTAGAATCGGTGACAAGGTCGACAACTGAAACTTGCTATAGCGCCATTCCCAAATCCACCTCGGATGCTAGCAAGGTGGTTTCCAGAGGAGCTGGGCTCTCAAAGGCTTTTGTGGGTCAGAAAAGCACCTTCTCTGTGGACTGCAGCAAAGCAGGTATGGGTACAGGAATTCCCTCTCAAAACCAGCTCTAGGCTGTGGTGGTCTAGCTGGACGTGTTTCGTCCTAAAACAACTTTCAGTTAATTGCAGACTCTGCATTAGGAAAGAGAAAGAGCATGATTTTGTGAGCTGGCAGCTAGATACTAATGGGAGCCCTCAGAAACAGTCTGCCTATGATACCTGAGCTTTTATAAATGGGCATTTTGTAGAGTTAAAATTCAGAGCTTGAGATTTGGATCTGATTCTGAAGAAAAACTATAAATGCTACACGGTGCTCAACAGATCCTAGTGGAGAGGCTGTAAAGATGCCACGCTCTCTCCAAATGACTTGCCTGAGCCAGGTGCACTGGAAGAAGACAGGGTTATGGCATGATCGTCATCTGCAAGCTTCGTGGTGGGTGAATTACAGGCCAGCGTTATTCACTGGTCTGTAGTGATAACTTCTTTAGAAGTGCTTGAAAGGCAATGCTTGCTCACTTTGACAGTGTTTCTCTCCTGTGCTGTAATTAGACAGCGGTAGTGTGTCAGGTCTGGCAAAATACACAAATAAACCCTTGTCTCAAAGAGGCTGAAGATTTTCAAATAACATTCCCTCCTGTACAGCATTAGCTTAGCATACCTCAGACTACCACGCTGTAAACTGTGAAATAAAACAATAAATTCCTTGTGTTGTGGGAGCTAATATTATGGTACGGTCATACCTGTTTATTTAAGCTTATGAATGCTAACGATCTTTTATTGTGCCGTAGGTTCAAATATGTTGTTAGTTGGTGTCCATGGGCCTACAATACCATGCGAAGAAGTATCTGTGAAGCATTTGGGAAACCATCAGTACAACGTAACGTATGTCGTCAAGGAAAAGGGTGACTATATTCTGGCAGTGAAATGGGGTGACGAACACATCCCTGGAAGTCCCTTTCATGTCACTGTTCCTTAAACCCGCCTAGTGTCAGCATCAATCTTTGCGTTTGCAATTCAGACTTAAGCGTTATACCGGGTGCAGTCCTGTTGCAAAATGCAGTATCTAGATACACACGGCTCACATTTCAATACACTCAGAACTAAATTCTGTAACTTTATTTTTTACAAGCATTTCACTTCTATCCTAATTATCAACATATTGTAAATCTATTTAATATTCTCTTCAAAATTATACCTTTGCAGTACTGTCTGGGTCACTGTCGATGTTTGGAGAATCATGTGGATAACTAGACACTAATTTCCCTAGCGGATGTTAAAGACTTTAGATGTTAATTGAAAACTGGAATTTGTCTTTGTAATTGGGTATCCTAACTACTGATTTTATTTGACTGGAGACTTTAGATTTTAGTTATGGAATATGACTTGGGCTGTCCCCAGTTCAAATTCTTTTCTGTAAAGAAATGAGGTAAAACTGGTACTATAATAGGTGCCTTTGTATACTTGATCAATTTTAATGCTTAACATTATAAAAAGCTACTAAAAGTGGCTTTACCACTCAAATTTAAAACATTTTTGAAAATGCTTTGCTAATGGTTTACATTTAGGAAAAGTTTGTCTTTTATAGCGGACCAAAAGCAGACTGAAAATTACTTCCTGGTAGCTTTCAGCCTTTCTATGTTAACGCTTTGTAAGTCTATACAGGTAGCTTTTTGGCCATGGACGCTAGTAATGTGTTTTTTTAATTAGCTTGGGATACTGGTGAAACTTATGTAACTTTGCTTTACAGGTAACTCCCCACACTCTTCTTGATTTATTTGCTTTTTAAGAACAGACTCCAGTTTGGTTGGGTTTAATAAAGCCTGTAACTTGTCAAGCCAGGTATAGCTCTCATCTGACTGACAGAAAATTTGTGCAGGTCAGAGAATGGCAGTTCATTGGGGAAAATGGTCTGCAGTTTCCCCCGAGGCTGCCAGGCGGGCAAGGAGCTGAGGTGATGGTGCAGAGCTGCCCCGGGGGTGGAAACCCCATCTGTCGTCGGGTATCGCGGGGAGGGCGGGTGCGTGAATCCACCACTAACACCACTACGAGTCAACGAACCCTTGGTTGATGCAAGTCACTTTATCGTATCCAAGTCCAAGGACTGGAGCGAAGCCTGCTCGTCGCCCTCCTGAAATCCCCTTCCGCTGCGCAGGGGCTTCCCGCTGAGGGGCGAGGAGCAAAAACTTCCGTCGTGGCTCTTAGGTTTGTCCCGAATTGCTCAATGCTACGTTCCAAGCGCGCATCTGAATTGCTGTCAGCTGCTGGGGCTTTAGTAAAACCCTCCAAACGAGCTTTAACTCTGATTAGGAGAAACTAGGATTTGTTGAGAACCTGTTGCAACTTTGCTGTCTGCCCCTATGGAGAAGTTCACGCTTACAGTTCTGTAGTTGTGTGTTGATGCACTACCCTTGAGCACAGTTGACTTTTTTTTTGTTTGTTTGTTTTGGTTTTTTTTTTTTTTACTGTGCTGTTCTGTGCCTTAATGTGAAATGCTCACTACATTGTAAACTAGGAATTAAAAACAAAATAAACTGGAATAAAATGCAGGATTGTAAAATTGTATCTTATAACTTATTAAATAGAAATGTTTGCTTCATTAAAATGTGCATGTTAAAAACAGCTTTGGATTCTTTTCATATGTGCTCAATAAAATTCAAACTTAAACTACAGCAACTTGAGGAATACTGAACGTCATCTGGACTGAGCCGTGCAGCTAGCCTTTAACAACTTGGGCATAATCTCAGTCTCATTCATGTTTCTTGTTTGTTTTATCCAATAGTTTTTGTTCCTATAATAAAATGTTGTGAAAAACTTTAACTTCAACATGCTGGGCTACAGCAGGCTGAGTGCAAGATATAGTCATACAGTCTTTTGGTTTGGGTTTGGTTGTGGTTTGTTTGGGTGGGTGGGTTGGTTGGTTGGTTGGGGTTTTTTGCTTAGATTTAAGGTAATTGGTGAACACCTACACTGAACAGCTGGCATGTCTTCTCCGTCCCTTCTTCTGTCTCCTGTGGTTGCAGCTGACCATCTCCGCTGAGCCGTTCTGGTGAGCCCCAGCGGGAGCTGGGTGCCAGTGCGGCTCCTGGAGGCTGCGTGGGGTTCCCCGTCCCCTGGCAGAGGCGCCCGGCGCGGGCGCTCGCAGCCCCTCTTGATGCAGGTGCGTGGGTCTCACCAGGCGTTACTGCCTGCGGCCCCAGAAGCTGCTCTTAAGGACTTGCCAGTAGCAACTCGGAGGCCATTAGGCTTTTGCAAAAGGTGGTTTCCAGGGACTTGCCGCACCTTCAGCTGGCCAGGTCTTGTGTGGCAGGACGTGGCCATGGAGACCAGCAGATGTTTTCCCAAACACGGCTCCTGCTGGAAGCTGTGGTGAAACCTGAGCCGCAGCGGGACGGCGGCTGCTGCCAAGGACTTTCCTGCCCCAGGTTTATCAGATTATTTCCTTTTTATAGTTAACTGTGTTTTATTATCTTCAAGCTGACATTATCTTTTATGTCAGCTTGAACCTCCTATTTAATGTTTAAAAAAACAAACCGTGGTAACAGCTGTCGAGTTGAGCAAACGTGGGAGTCTAGTGTCTGTGTAACTCATATTGCCCAGTACCCGCTCTTGCCTGGTCTGCTCTGGCCTGCTTACTGCTTGGCTTCTTGGTCTAATCCCATTAGCTGAAATTAATGGGAGTTGTCCATGAAAGCGATGGGCTGTGATTGTTACCTTGTCTAACAGCACTTCTAATAAAAGCTAAGTTCTGGTTCAAGTTGCAGTAGAAAACAAGCAGTTCTGCCTTGTGTAGGCAATAAAACCTGTGCTGTGACTGCCTAAACATCCAAGCACCTGCACCACAACAATTAACTTGCTAAATACAGCAAATGTCCAGTATTCTCAATTTGAAGAGCTTTTGGTGCAACTTGACTGCATTGATCTTCTTTGGCAACATGGTTCGGTCAACTCTGAAGGTGAATATTGATCATACAACTGGAAATATGATATTCTAGTTGCACAAAATAGAGTATTTTCATGCAGTTTCCAGTATTAGTGTTCTGAGTCTGATGGCTGCCGTTCTGAAGTCTTTGGGTCTTGCTTTCACAAGGTTGCACACGCGTGCTAGATGAAGGGCCTCCACGCAGTCCTCAGTGTGGTTAGTAGGAAAGAGGAAGGTAAAGTACTGAAGTGCTGAAGCCATTTTCTGTCTAGCACGTTTTCTTTGGAAGGTGGTCCTGAATGCAACCGAAGCTGCTGGTACAAAACGCAGAGCTGCTGTGAGCCAGCCGCCTCTGAGGGGCCTCCTCCCTTGGGAGGTACAGTTTGGCTGCAGGGGTGCAAGGTGACACAGCTGGTACTGGGGAGCAGAAGCAGCTGACAGCAAACAAAGCTCAGCTGGAAGTCATAGGCTTGGACCTCTAGGGGCTTGTTTACTGCAAACGCTGCATGTGGCTGACCCTTTGCAAGAAGGCCAAGCAGAGAGAGTCCCACTCTCTGGGAGGTTGCATGGGTTTAGAAGTGCACTTTTGCTCGGAGTTGTTCTGCGAGTAGCAGCTATGTAGGCTCATCACAACAGTTTTCAGTAGACAGGAAAGGAGTAGAGCTCACTTCAGAGTGGTTGAGCTCCTGTTGTTGAAGACATACCGTTTTAAAATACGTTGTGTTAGACATCTAAAAGCACAGTGCCTTAGGACTCCAGGCTCTGCTTTAAGTCTTTGGCACCTTGATGGAAATTTCCCTTTGCACTGCCTACCTTAGCAGCAGTCCACTAGGCCAGGGTGACTACTGTTGGGCTGCAGGTCGTGGTGTCCCGGGGTACCTGGGTCCCAGTGCTTGTTACTGGCTGGGTAGACTTGCAGTGATATGAGGTACCACTGGGCTGCTGAAGAAAGTACAAGTGCAGTCTGCTGTAAAAAAAAACCCCCCGGCACATAGGAACTGAGCTGCCGTATTCCCAGCAGCACCAGCATGGCACAGTGCTCTGGGCACCATCCTTCAGCTACACGGTTCTGCCAGCCTGGTGACACTTGAAGCAGTCCCGTGTTACTTACAGAGGACTGGGTGTTTTGCCTCTAGCTGTGGAAGTCAAACATGTTTTCTCCTGCAAACTTGGTTGAACTTCAGTTCTTTACTTGTTTATGATCTCTCCTTGGTTAGCAGTTTGCAGTAGGATTCAGCCACCTGGATCCATGGTACCCGTGTGTCCATCTGGGAGCTCCTCGGTCCTTTCTCAGCTAGCTCAAGCTCTTATTAATACAGCTAAATCCAAGCAGTGCCTTTGCTGGTAGCAAGCTGGACCCTTGCCTGCTGGTGGCCAGTGACTCAAGGCTGCTCCACCAGCCCATCTTGCCCCCATCTGTTCCTGATGACCAACACTGGAGCCAGGATGGTAATGAGCAGAGATACCTTGTATATTTGAGTGTTGCTCAAAACTGAAAATAACATTTAGTCCTGTGGAGCCTTGTTATAAAAACGCAATCAAGAGGGCATCTCCTGCAGGGTGGCTTTTCTTCTAAGGGATGCATTGGAGCCCTGTCCTGTGGGAGGTGGGATAGTTTTCAGGGCTGCTCCACATATAAGTTAGATTAAAACTTGCTGACAGCATGACTGCTTGCTTTCTGCATCACCTAACAAACATAAATGGGCATCTTTGGTTGTATTGTATGTGATATAAAAGATGCAGAAAGTCTCATGATCGTTGGAGGAGGCAACTTGTTGAGGGCTTAGCTCATAGTACGTTCCTGCAGCAGTAAAGGTCCCTGGTTTGTGGTGGGTGTCTTCCGCGTTGTGTACAAAAGCTGTATTATGCTCTCTGCAGCGCTTTGGGGCATAACTGTTCCAGAGGGCACAATTCAGCGCTTCATGAATTTATTATTTAAGATGCTTTGCTCCCTTTTGATTCCTGGTTACTGTGAAATTCTTGAAGGTGGGGAGGAGAACTAACCCCCGGGGCCTTGCTCCTCTGCCTCGGCAGCGGTGCGCCCACTGCCTCACGGGGGGCAAGCGAAGGGGCAGCAGTTCCCCCGGCCCCCCTGCAAGGGCGGAAGGAAACACTGAAGGGTTTATTTGCGTGCGGCCGCCTTTGTCCCGCCGCGCTGGCAGCAGCAGGCCGAGGGCTCTCTGTCGCAGTATTAGCGCGTCGGGATCAACGCGAGCT